ATAGGGGTAATAATAACTATAATGATGATGATGATGATAATGATAATAAATAAATAAAGTAATGACGATAGGGGTAATAATAACTATAATGATGATGATGATGATAAAGATAAATAAATGAAGTAATAACGATAGGGGTAATAATAACTATAATGATGATGGTGATGATGATATTCCAGTGGGTAGTGATGACGATGGCATAATGGCAATGGCAACAATATAATAATGATGATGATGATGATAATGATAATAATACGTAAATAGCAACAATATAATAATGATGATGATGATGAGATAATAATAAGTAAATAGCAACAATATAATAATGATGATAATGATAATGATAAGTAAATAGCAACAATATAATAATGATGATGATGATGATAATGATAATAATAAGTAAATAGCAACAATATAATAATGATGATGATAATGATAATAATAAGTAAATAGCAACAATATAATAATGATGATGATGATGATAATGATAATAATAAGTAAATAGCAACAATATAATGATGATGATGATGATGATGATGATAATAAGTAGATAAAGTAATAACGATAGGGGTAATAATAACTATAATGATGGTGATGATGATAATGATAATAATAAGTAAAGTAATACCGATAGGGGTAATAATAACTATAATGATGATGATGATGATAATGATAATAAATAAATGAAGTAATAACGATAGGGGTAATAATAACTATAATGATGATGATGATAATGATAATAAATAAATGAAGTAATAACGATAGGGGTAATAATAACTATAATGATGATGATGATGATGATAATAAATAAATAAAATAATAACGATAGGGATAATAAGAACGATAATGATGATGATGATGATAATGATAATAAATAAATAAAATAATAACGATAGGGGTAATAAGAACTATAATGATGATGATGGTGATAATAATAATAAATAAATAAAGTAATAACGATAGGGGTAATAATATCTATAATGATGATGATGATGATAATGATAATAAATAAATAAAATAATAACGATAGGGGTAATAAGAACGATAATGATGAGGATGAAAAACTGATAATGATAGTGATTATAAAATAATAATGATAATGACGATGATGAAAACATGACAACGATAGGGAAAATAATAATAATAACGATGACGAAGAAATGATAATGACAAGATGATGATAACAAAAGTAAAACTAATGATAACACCAATGGTGATGATAATGATAATGGATGATCGTCATCATCATCATCATCATAATAATAGGCATAAAAGCAGCAACAAAACCACAGGAAACAACAACAGTAACTGTAAAAACAACAATAGTAATTACAAAGATAAAAAAAAAATGTAAACTACTGCCCACAGCGATTAGATCGGTTATAATCCGGATGATGTCTATTAACCCAACTACCCATCTATTTGTGCATTTGTCGGTGCGTGTCATACATAAACAAACAAATCTATGCACCAATACACCCACATATGTATGTTTGTATGTATAAATTCTAAATATTATGAATAACAACCATCGTTCTACACTAGAAAATATTTTCAATCATCTGAACATGAGATAAACAAAAAGATACAATGCCATGTAGAGTTTCCAGTGACAGGAAGTAATAAAACAGAAAATATGACATTCCTCTCGCCTTTAAGTGTTTATGACATTTTTACGTCCCTTGGGTTGTCCTTATAAGCTACACCGGCATCCGTCTCAAGTGGAAATATCCGGGAGTTAAGAAAACGGAGAAATATTCTCACAGGTCACCGTGGGAAGAACATTTATAAAAGAAAATACAGCTTTCCCATCTTCGCGGTGATCCGGGTATGACGTGTGAAGATGTGTACACACACACACACACACACACACACACACACACACACACACACACACACACACACACACATATATATATATATATATATATATATATATATATATATATATATATGTATATATATATATATATATATATATATATATATATATATATATATATATATATAATATATATATATATTATATATATATATATCATATATTCATATATCAGTAAAAATCTATAACACACACACACATAGAAACATACACAAACACACATATATGTATATATGTATGTGTGTGTGTGTGCGTATTTTGGAGTGTGTGTAACCGTGAGATATATCGCGTTTTCCGGAAAAATTACTAGAGTACCGAGTGGCCCTGCCAATCGACGGTGTTTCTGGACCAATAGTTCTAAGATTTCAAATTTGGCGGATATCGCGTTTTGCGATGAAACTCTTTATATATATATATATATATATATATATATATATATATATATATATATATATATATATATGTATGTATATATATATATATATATATATATATATATATATATATATATATATATATATATATATATATAGCATATAAAACATATATAATATATATATATATATATATATATATATATATATATATATATATATATATACATATACATATATACATATATATTCATACACATATGTACAAGTATACACGTATATCTAAATAATTAATCGGTCGCCGCTTTCCGATCTACGAGCGACCCAAGAGAACCCTTTTGCCATCTCTTTCTCAGGCATTTGAAGCCTGGAGCACTTTGTGTTCAGTCTTGTGTTTCTGGGTTTTGGTATCCTGTGTTATTGCTCCTCTATCTTCCCTGTGTATCATATTTCCTGAGAGTTCTCGTCTCCTTCTCTTCCCCCAGTTCTGCTCTTCTGTCGGTTACACTCCCACCTGCACACACGCGCACGAACAAAAACGTATCCAACATTTCTACGTACATATGCAAGCCTAAAGCTACGAAACTATTTGCTCCTCGTTCGATGAATTTCAGAAAAGGGAAAACGAGCTTAAAGAAAAGTTTCTACTGAGAATCATGCATATTTTTTGCTTCTTTTGCACCGATAAAAGGATATTCATAGTCGCTGGTCTTACTTGAACACATTTTATTCAAGAAAAGGAAAGACATTAACTGAACACGCATTCTATTTTCTCAGTACCATAACAATTTGCCGCAAACGTTCCCGCGCTTTCTCCAATGAAATTTAAATGATGAATCCCAATTGATTTATATACATATACGTAGCTCAGGGTGTTATTTGCGTCTCATTATCAATCCTCCTCCGGCTTGTGTACTTAAATATCATTAACAAAACATTAAGCTCTCTTGTCAGGGGAATTAAAATAAAATAAAGTAGTTCTCGATATCAGTACATCATGAAGTCTCGAAATTCACATCAGGAATGAATAAAGAAATAAGATTGGTGGACACAAAGATTTTTCATTTTTTAATTACATTTCACATACTGAAATATAACAAATTCACATGTCATGAACACTGGAATGTAGATATATATTTACACATTCAGCATTACAAACGAATATGAATAAAATAATCCCGTTGAGAAAATATGTGAAAAAAAAGATGATGTATTGAACAACCCCTTTTCTAATTGCAATCACTTCATGTATTTAATAAAACATGCTTGATAGATTATTTTTCTCACTAACGACAATATCAACATAATCATTGCAATGAAATACGAAAAAACAGCATAGAAAACAATGATGTTGAAAATAACTACAGCAATGATGTTGATAATGAAAAGTGTAACAATCAATTAATGCTATGCTGATGATTTCAATGGCAATGAGAATGAAAATGAAAACTATCAGGGCGATAATAATGATAATGATTATAATCGTAATAATGATATAATAACAGTGATACTAATAGTGATGATGATGATGATGATGATGATGGTAATGATTACAATATCGATATTATTTGAATTATAATAAAAATATCATAATGATGATTATAACAAAAATTATGATAATAATGTTGATAATAATAATAAAATTATCATAAGGATGATTATAACAATAACAATGATAATAATATGAGTAATAACAATGATGATAATAATAATAATAATAATAATAATAATAATAAATAACAATCGTAATAGCAATAATAGTGATAACAATAATAGTTATGATGATAATAATAATAATAGTAATGATGATAATATCAATAATAATAATAATGATAATAATAATGATAACAACAATGATAAAAATAATGATAATAACAAAAATAAAAATAATGATAATAGCAATAATACAAATAATGATAACAACAATAATGATACTATTAATAACGATAATGGTAATAATATATCAATAAAAAATCCTACTATTATTACTAATAACAAGAACAATAATGATGACAATAGCAATTGTCGTCATTATACTTATCACAATCACTATACTCATTATTTGTATGATGCTCAATAAATCCATAAATAAATAAATAAAATAACAATGATTTCAAAATATGCTAACTCGTTGGTCCATATCAATAAATCCACGAATAAAATAACAATGATTTTAGAATATGCTGACTCGTTGGTCCATAAAACCACAAAAGTGAAAAACTGTTCTATCAATCATCTCTAAATTCCCTTTGGCGGTGGTGCTGCGTGTGCATGTGATAGACAAAGAGGGAGAGGGAGAGAGGGAAGAGGGAAGAGGGGGAAGGGAGGGAAAGGGGGAAAGGGGGAAGGAGGGAAGAGGGGGAAGGAGGGAAGGGAAGGGAAGGGGAGGGGAAGGGGGGAGGAGGGGAAGGAGGAAGGGGGAAGGGGGAAGGGGAAGGGGGGGGAAGGGGGGAAGGGAGGAGGGAGGGGGGAAAGGGGGAAGGGAAGGAGGGAGGGGAAAGGAGGGAAGGGAAGGGAGGGAAGGAGGAAGGGGGGAAGGGAAGGGAGGAGGGGGGAAGGGGGAGGGAAGGAGGGAAGGAGGGAGAGGAGGAAGGAGGGAAGGGGGGAGGGAGGGAGGAAGGAGGGAGGGACAGAGAGAGAGAGAGAGAGAGAGTGTGTGTCGTGTGTGTGTGTGTGTGTGTGTGTGTGTGTGTGTGTGTGTGTGTGTGTGTGTGTGTGTGTGTGTGTGTGTGTGTGTGTGTGTG